TTAATGTGTATATATATATATATATATATATTTTTTTTTTTTTTAATTTCTTTTAGGACAGTGGTGATTATCCTCTTACCATGCCTGGACCTCAGTGGAAAAAATTTCGTTCAAATTTTTGTGAATTTATTGGAGTCCTGATTCGACAGTGTCAGTATAGCATAATTTATGATGAATATATGATGGACACAGTAATCTCCCTTTTGACTGGTTTGTCAGACTCCCAGGTCAGAGCTTTTAGGCATACAAGTACCCTTGCTGGTAAGTAACCAACATTTTATTTCCTTTTAATTTGGTTTTATTAAATGTGTTTTATACTAATTAAACTTTCTTTAGATAAAATATTAATCCACTGTGCTTCTGAAAAATTACATTTTTACCCAAATTCATCTGAATGGTTTGTGTTACCTGTTTAGGTAAAAGATATGACTATTTTGCTAACTGGCATTTGATATCCTTAAGAATGAAAATTGAAATTTTCTGGCCAATGTCAACAAATGTCTATCTGAATGTTTAGTTATTTTTCTACATCCTTATTGTATAACCAGAGAAATTTTAAGAGGCCACTAGTCCATTTTCTTTGGAAAATGTAAGTAATGATAGTTGAAATTCCAAATTCACACTGTATTTCCCCCACTTAGTTACGTTGCTTTATTGCTCGTTGTTAATATACGTAAGTATTTATTTGTTTATGTATCTGAAACAATTTTATCTAGTAAGGAAACAGACATTCTTCCTATTCCTAGTGCTCTAACAACTTAAACATATCTAAACATAACATCTCTAACATCAGTTCATTCAGGTAGGCTATAGATAATCTGAAGAACTGCCAGACTGCAGTTTTTATTTTTGCTTTCTTCACCTTCGAATTATCTGGCCCTTTGTCAGCCAAGTATATATATATTTTTTTCTTTTTAATGAGGTAGTTTTGTTAATTTAGCAGTTAGTCTGTTTTCCCTTTCTACTTTAACTGTTTACCTAAAATGACTCTTTTTCATCAATGATACAGAGTGTGTACCTGTATATATAAACATATTTTTAAATACTCTCAAGTTATATCATTTTTAGTGGCAGTAACTTTGTCTATATCCACTTATTACCGTGACAAAGCCAGATTTAGGTTTACTAATTGCATTTTATCTTGTATTTGAATTTCAGTATCTCATTTGTCTAATTTATTTAAAGTATTGGTTCTTAAACTTTAGTACACGTCAGAATCACCTCAGTGCTTGTTGAAACAGATTGCTAGACCTCACCCTTAGAGTTTAACAATTTTCTAGGTGATGTTGATGCTGGTGAGTTGGGGACTACACGTTGCAATCATCTGGTTTGAAATTTTGTCATTTTTTAGTTTAACCTGTTGCCCAAAGCCAATATAATAATATTATCTGGAGTCATTCGTATGTTTTCCATTTCTCTTTTTCTTCCAGTTCCCTTTTTTTACTTACTCGACACAGTTAATCCGTATTAGTGTCCATTGTTCTCTCAGTTATTGTTCTTTGCCAAACAAACATGAAACACAGTTTATTTTCTTTTGAGAGTTTCTTTTTCCCCATTATTAGGAAGAGAGGGAGATATTTTACCCAATTTTATTGTTTTTAAAAAGATAAAATAAAAATACAATTTATTGTTGAAAAAATGTTTGTAGAGGACATACATTAAACAGTTTATTTTGTGTTTTGAGAGTGTCCTCTTCCTCATTATTAGGAAGAGAAAGAGATCTTATACCCAGTTGTATCCTTTTCAAAAAGGTACTGTAAAAATACTGTTTCTTATTCAAAAATTTATCAGATATTATACATTCTTTTCTAATTTCATGACCTTTCCTACGTTCTGCATTTGGTCTTTGCTTTTTTCCTTTTCTTTTTCTTTTTTTTTTTTTTAACTTCCTTTTCATCTTACTTTCTTTCTATGTATGGTAATGCCCATTTACCTGGTTTTTTTTTTTTAACTTCTTTTTCATCTTACTTTCTTCTTTCTATGTATGGTAATGCCCATTTACCTGGTCATCAGGTGCATAGGAAACTTATTGATCTTTTTTTTTTTTTTAACTTCCTTTTCATCTTACTTTCTTTCTATGTATGGTAATGCCCATTTACCTGGTCATCAGGTGCATAGGAAACTTATTGATTTGAAATAAACAAAACAAACATAAGTTAGAAATAGCTTCAAAATAGCCAAAGTTGCTGTCATAAAAATGAATGAACTTGCCTTAGTAGAGAAGTTACCTGGTTTCCCAAGGCCAAGAGAGCAGGAGACACAACAAATTAATAGAGGGCAAATCTTAGATACTGTCCTGATGATCCTATTGTGAAATGACAATTCATAACAAAAAAGGCAAAAGAATTAGTTTACAGATCTCAAGATAGAGAACAATCTGGAGCTTTTCTTTAGGGGCAAGATTCCTCTCTTTAATTTAGAAATTTGTCTGCATTTTATATACAAAATTAAATATATGCCACATACTCACAAGAGAAGAGGTGTGGTGTTATAGAAATATGCAAAATATTTTGACTCTTAAAACATACTTTTAATTTTCTGAACAATGTACATTAATTCACTTGCATTTGTCCTTCACTGCCATGTAAATGAAGTATTACTGTATTTTACAGGGTTTATGTTGCTCTGTTTTAGCTATCCTTCATATTGGCTAATTTTCAGTAACTTTTATTGTATTATTTCTTCTATATTTATCCCTTTGGTTTATATGTCTGCTAATTTTACATATGCTTTAAATATATTTTCATTTTGGCTTTCCTCCTGTTTCTTTTGAGTTGAATAGCTCCCTCCTCCCCCTAGTGACTGTCTTTCTTCCTATGATTTACCTGTGTTCATGATAGCTTTTAGAACTGCTTAATGATTGCCATTTTGTTTTCACCTAAACTCTTTTTATATTATCATGTAGCCTATTTAAATTTGAAGTTATTTGTCAAAATCAGGTACTGAAAAACAGAAAGTGATCAACATTATTTTTATATTGATGTTTCAAAGGATAAACCCTGTTTTCCAGTCATTCTCTAAATTTATTTCAAAATATTACTGTCATTCCCATGTGTCTACATTAATAGTCATATCTTCCAAGTCTCGGTTGTATAAAATGTGACACATATCAGTCATCTACCCTTCAGCAAAGCACAGAGGGCTTGCTGAGAACTTACTTCCAGGCTGGGCAGTAATTATCCATCTTTTCAAGGGTTTTTTGTTCTCATCTTTGCCCTCTTTGTTTTTATATGATATGTGTGTTAGGCATAGATTAAAAGATAATCATTTTTATTCACTTTGCAGGACAAGTCTTGGGGACTAGATAAAATGGGCAGTATCATTTAATCCTCTGCTTCAAAGACTATGTGCATGGACAGTTACAAGGCAGTTATGGCCAGATATGATTATCGGCTTTGGAATAAAATGCTCCTTGACATTGCTTATATCTTAGCTGAGAAGAGAGACAATCAGGTTAGTTATTTTGTAGGGTACAGATATGATGAGTTCCAGAGCTTCATAAGTCATCAGAGTGGTCTTATCACTAGTTTAATCTGTTTTCTAAATATCCCATTTTCTTGTTATGAATTAAATGTGTCCCTATTGTCAGTGTTTATGCATTGCATTAATTGTATACTTTTAACTACATTTTTATTAAAAGTTTTTTTTATTATTCTATAGTTCTTCAGGTCTGTTTACTCCACATTTATAAGAATAAGTATTCTCATTTTTCCATTGGAGGTAAACTCTTTTTGGAGTGCTTTTTAACATTAAATTGAAACAGACTGTTAGCAGTTACATTTTATATTATATTTTCCTTGTTTTTCTCTTCTTTCCTTTTTTTTTTTTTGTCTTTTTTTTACTGACCGGTAACGGGATAGCAACCCTCGGTGTCGCGCCCATACCGGGGACCGGCAACGGGATCACAACCCTCGGTGTTG